CTCCCTCCCTCCCGTGACACCTCCTCCTCTCCCGTAGGTGCTTGGCGAAGCCCTGCAGGATTGCCACGCTCCTCCATCACCACCACGCCGTTGTGCTGCTGCTGGATGGAGTCTTCCTCAACCTCTCCCTCTCTCCTTGCTGGATCAAGGCGTGGGAGACGTCACCGGGCTGTACGTGTGTTGAACGCGGAGGTGCCGTCCGTTCGGCACTTGATCATCGGTGATCTGAATCACGACGAGTACGACTCCATCAACCCCGTTCACTTGAATGCTTCCGCTTAGCGATCTACAAGGGTATGTAGATGCACTCTCCTTTCTACTCGTTGCTGGTCTCTCCATAGATAGATCTTGGTGTTACGTAGGAAATTTTTTGAATTTCTGCTACGTTCCCCAACAGTGGCATCATGAGCTAGGTCTATTGCGTAGATTCTTTGCACGAGTAGAACACAAAGTAGTTGTGGGCGTTGATGTTGTTCAATATGCTTACCGTTACTAGTCCAATCTTGTTTCGACGGTATTGTGGGATGAAGCGGCCTGGACCGACCTTACACGTACTCTTACGTGAGACAGGTTCCACCGATTGACATGCACTTGGTGCATAAGGTGGCTAGCGGGTGCCAGTCTCTCCCACTTTAGTCGGAACGGATTCGATGAAAAGGGTCCTTATGAAGGGTAAATAGCAATTGGCATATCACGTTGTGGTTTTGCGTAGGTAAGAAACGTTCTTGCTAGAAACCCATAGCAGCCACATAAAACATGCAAACAACAATTAGAGGACGTCTAACTTGTTTTTGCAGGGTATGCTATGTGATGTGATATGGCCAAAAGGATGTGATGAATGATATATGTGATGTATGAGATTGATCATGTTCTTGTAATAGGATTCACGACTTGCATGTCGATGAGTATGACAACCGGCAGGAGCCATAGGAGTTGTCTTAATTTATTGTATGACCTGCGTGTCATTGAAGAACGCCATGTAACTTACTTTACTTTATTGCTAAACGCGTTAGCCATAGAAGTAGAAGTAGTCGTTGGCGTGACAACTTCATGAAGACACGATGATGGAGATCATGATGATGGAGATCATGGTGTCATGCCGGTGACGATGATGATCATGGAGCCCCGAAGATGAAGATCAAAAGGAGCAAAATGATATTGGCCATATCATGTCACTATTTGATTGCATGTGATGTTTATTATGATTATGCATCTTGTTTACTTAGGACGACGGTAGTAAATAAGATGATCCCTTACAAAATTTCAAGAAGTGTTTGTTGGAAATATGCCCTAGAGGCAATAATAAAAGTATTATTATTATATTTCCTTGTTCATGATAATTGTCTTTTATTCATGCTATAACTGTATTATCCGGAAATCGTAATACACGTGTGAATACATAGACCACAATATGTCCCTAGTGAGCCTCTAGTTGACTAGCTCATTGTGATCAACAGATAGTCATGGTTTCCTGGCTATGGACATTGGATGTCGTTGATAACGGGATCACATCATTAGGAGAATGATGTGATGGACAAGACCCAATCCTAAGACTAGCACAAAAGATCGTGTAGTTCATTTGCTAGAGCTTTGCCAATGTCAAGTATCTCTTCCTTCGACCATGAGAGCGTGTAACTCCTGGATACCGTAGGAGTGCTTTGGGTGTATCAAACGTCACAACGTAACTGGGTGACTATAAAGGTGCACTACAGGTATCTCCGAAAGTACCTATTGTTTTATGCGGATCGAGACTGGGATTTGTCACTCCGTGTAAACGGAGAGGTATCTCTGGGCCCACTCGGTAGGACATCATCATATGCGCAATGTGACCAAGGAGTTGATCACGGGATGATGTGTTACGGAACGAGTAAAGTGACTTGCCGGTAACGAGATTGAACAAGGTATTGGATACCGACGATCGAATCTCGGGCAAGTAACATACCGATAGACAAAGGGAATTGAATACGGGATTGATTAAGTCCTTGACATCGTGGTTCATCCGATGAGATCATCGTGGAACATGTGGGAGCCAACATGGGTATCCAGATCCCACTGTTGGTTATTGACCGGAGAACGTCTCGGTCATGTCTGCATGTCTCCCGAACCCGTAGGGTCTACACACTTAAGGTTCGATGACGCTAGGGTTATAAAGGAAGCTTGTATGTGGTTACCGAATGTTGTTCGGAGTCCCGGATGAGATCCCGGACGTCACGAGGAGTTCCGGAATGGTCCGGAGGTAAAGATTTATATATAGGAAGTCCTGTTTCGGCCATCGGGACAAGTTTCGGGGTCATCGGTATTGTACCGGGACCACCGGAAGGGTCCCGGGGGCCCACCGGGTGGGGCCACCTGCCCCGGGGGGCACATGGGCTGTAGGGGATGCGCCTTGGCCTACATGGGCCAAGGGCACCAGCCCCAAGAGGCCCATGCGCCTAGGGAACCCTAGAGGGAAGAGTCCTCAAGGGGGAAGGCACCTCCGAGGTGCCTTGGGGAGGATGGACTCCTCCCCCCTTCTTGGCCGCACCCCTTTCTTGGAGTAAGGGGCAAGGCTGCGCCTCCCCCCTCTCCCTTGCCCCTATATATAGTGGAGGGGAGGGAGGGCATCCATACCTGAGCCCTTGGCGCCTCCCTCCCTCCCGTGACACCTCCTCCTCTCCCGTAGGTGCTTGGCGAAGCCCTGCAGGATTGCCACGCTCCTCCATCACCACCACGCCGTTGTGCTACTGCTGGATGGAGTCTTCCTCAACCTCTCCCTCTCTCCTTGCTGGATCAAGGCGTGGGAGACGTCACCGGGCTGTACGTGTGTTGAACGCGGAGGTGCCGTGCGTTCGGCACTTGATCATCGGTGATTTGAATCACGACGAGTACGACTCCATCACCCCCGTTCACTTGAACGCTTCCGCTTAGCGATCTACAAGGGTATGTAGATGCACTCTCCTTCCCCTCGTAGCTGGTTTCTCCATAGATTGATCTTGGTGATGCGTAGAAAATTTTGAATTTCTGCTACGTTCCCCAACAAAAACAGTTGTCTCTTCTTGTTTGTAGCAATGGATTCCGATTTGGAGTACATATACGAACAGTATGTTGAGTCCTCCGGCGGCTCATCAGACGAGGAGTACTCCGATGAGACGGCGATGATGCGGGCGGTCCTTGAAGACGCGGAGCGTGCGGAGGATCATGTTCTCAATTTCAAGGGCTCGATCAAGGGTCATCGAGTGCTCAACTACAACAGGGTGCGCGGGCATTTGACACTGATGGCCGACTACTTTGCCCCCGATGCACTACTCGCTGACCATTTTCGTCGACGTTTACGGATGCGCAAGACTGTCTTCGATCGTTTGCACCATGGCATCCGATCCTACGATGACTACTTCATAATGAAGAAGGATGTCGTGGAAACGATTGGCTTCTCTAGTTACCAAAAGTGCACGGACGCACTCCGGATGCTTGCATATGGCACGGTCGCTGATTCGTGGGACGAGTACCTACGGATGTCCGAGAGCACATGTGGGGATGCCATGATCAGGTTTGCAACTACCGTGGTTGAGGTGTTCGGACCTCAGTACCTAAGAGAACCAATTGTGGCAGACACCGAGAGACTCCTGGCAATCTCAGAAGCAAGAGGGTGGCCAGATTTGCTTGGATCTCTTGACTACATGCATTGGAAATGGAAGAATTGCCCGAAGACTTTGTAAGGGCAATATCAGGGGCATGTTAAGAAGCCCACCATCATTCTTGAAGCAGTTGCATCACACGATTTTTGGATTTGCACGCTTTCTTTGGCATGCTCAGGTCTCACAATGACATCAATGTGCTGCAACGATCGTCGTTGTTTGCGAGGCTGATTGAAGGAAAAGCTCACTATATTGTCAATGGACATGAGTACAACATGGACTACTATTTGGTCGACGGTATCTATCCTTCATGAGCTACCTTTGTGAAAAACGCTCACTTTACCCAAAGACAAGAAGCAGCTAGAAAGGATGTTGAGAGGGCATTTGGAGTTTTTAGGCCCGTTTTGTAGTTGTTCATGGACCTGCAAAACAATGAGATCCGGAGACCTTGTGGGAGGTGATGACATGTTGTGTGATCGTGTACAACATGATCATAAAGAATGAGGGTGACAATGCTGCCGCGGCTCTAGAATTTGAGAACATGTATGATCCTATCCAACTTTCGGACCAGAATCCAGCCACATTTGAGGAGTTTATTCAAATGCATCAACATACCGATCAACTCAAGAGCAGCTCAAGGAAGATCTGATTGAGTATCAGTGGGCGGTGAAAGGGGCAACAATATTGGGATGTAAATATTTGAACTTTTTAAATTTTAAACTAGTGTTGCATGTGGCTATTTGAACTTGCGTGCCCTTTGCATACAACTATTTGATCGTGCGGACTGGAGAAAAAAATCCAAAAAATCGGATGTATGCGGCTACGATTGAATGCAGTGGCGGAGCTACGCAAACAAAGTTGGGCGGGCCAGTACAAGGAGAAGGCAACTATTTTTACCAATATGACCTGATTTACTCTCAATACTACATTGTATTTGCTATGTGCAGGGCGGGCCATGGCCCATTTTCCCAACACATAGCTCCGCCGGTGATTGAATGTCGACCTCTCACATCTATGGCCGTGGACTGGTCTCTTGTTCGTGGCCGGACGCGGGTTGTTTTTTGCAGGTTTCGTTGAAGATGCCCTTAGACTTTTTCTTTTTTTTTTTGAGCCGGATGCCCTTAGACTTGCTTAACCGTATCACCGTGGCAACTGGCAAAGGTGGGCCGTGCAACGGCGGCAACGACCTTTAAAGCCAGTGTCCCGTCCGCATTCACTGCGAGCAGCGGTGCGTGCTGTTGGCGCCGAGCACACCTACGCCGTAATTCACCACCACTTCAACGGAGCCTTTAAAGCCCGCAAAAGGCTCGCCGCGAGCAAGCAAACCCCGTACCCACGTACTCGCCCCTCCATCCCTTTCCACACCGCTCTCTCCACCTCTCTCTCATGGCGAGGCGGTCGGTGCATCGGAGGCAGGAGTTCAGCTTCGCGGGGGACTCGCCGACGCCGTCGCCGTCGCGGGGCGCGCTGCCTCCCCGGCCGCCGGTGGCGGCGACGGCGAACCCGATGGCGCCGCGCGCGGGGGAGGAGGACTTCCGCTGGCTGCAGGCGTCGGGGCAAGGCTCGCCCGAGTCCGGCTCCGGCTCCGGCACGCCGTCGCCGCAGCTCTGGGCGCACCGCGAGCAGGACCACCACCACGACCGGCTCTACCCGGCCTCCGCCGGGAGCTCCCCGTCGCGCGCGCAGGCCATCGCCGGCTACCGCCGCGAGATGCTCGACCTCGTCCGCGGCCTCCCCGAGGCCGCCTACGAGCTCTCTCTCCGCGACATCGTCGAGTCCCGGCCATCCCCGCTCCCTCCTCCTCCACCACCACCACCGCCACCCCCGACCCAACCGTACGCCGTCGCTATGCAAGAACGAGGAGGCGGCGAGCCCAAGAAGGACGTCCCTGCGGCAGCCATAGACAACGACGAGGCCAAGAAACCGAGCGACAGCGGTGGCAAGAAACAGGGGAAGGCAAGAAAGCAGAGGACGATGGGGAGGACGCGAAGCCGGAGCATGGAGCGCAGCGTGAGCCTGGACACCGGCCTGCTCATCAAGCTCTTCCTGCCGCTCTCCGGCGGCCGGAAGAAGAAGGTGTCGCCCAAGCCCGCCGCGGTCGCCCCCGCCAAGGACGGCAGGAAGAAGACCAAGACGAAGAAGAAGAAGAAGCAGGGGAAGAAGGAGGAGGAGGAGGAGTGGTGGAAGAAGAGCGAGTTCAGCCAGGCGGGCAGCAGCAGCGGCAGCAGCAACAGCAGCGCCAGCAGGAACAGTGGAATTGGAATTGGAAATGGAAATGGCGGCAGCGATCCAAAAGCTCCGACCAGGAGTAGGAGCAGGTAAACTTTTTTCTACTTGCTTCCTTAGAACTGATTTTTACTTCTGGATCGGTGATAAAAAAATCTACCAACTTTGTTCTTCATTCATCTTTTGTGCAAAATAATAATAACATTTTTTTTAATAAATTACTTGTGTTTATGGTCTAGTTACTTAGTTGTTCTTGTCCAGATATGAATTTACCAGTTTCTATAACATAATTTTGGAAGAAGAACACACACACAAAAAAAATCTTAGTTCAGATTCAGAAATGGTAAAATATTACTATCAGATGTAAGCATGTGTCAGCAAACACGTCAATGTGAAAATTTTACAGTATAGGCTGCTAGTGAAAGGCCAAAATTTAAGTGTGCCTTCCTTCTGGAAGTTCAGTGTGAAGTCATGACACTTGTTTGGGGCAGATCGGTCAACACGGCAAAGATAGGTCGTGGTTTGAAGTCCATCTTGTTTCATCACAGACCCAACTTAGCAGTCAATTCATTGTATCCGGCAGCCTTATTGGGCACAAGGAGCCATGACTTCACATGTTCAATTTTCCAAGTCTTCTCTCTGCTTTCTCATTTGTTACTTCCTTTTAGCAACCGACAGGAGCTGAAATATTTGTAATTTGTTACCAACCCCGGTATATTTCATTTTTAGATTGTACCTAGTACAAGAAAAGGCTATTTGTTTGGTCGTGGGCTGTTGAAATATTTGTACTGTCTAATGGACCGTTCAGATTTGCTTGCTCTCTTTACCGAAAAAGGCTTTCGCCCCGCTTTATATTATAAAACAACGGCCCGAGCCAAACATCCAACAAGGTTCAAACACACACACACACATACAAAGGTCTAGTACAGACAGTATACAAAGGGTTACTGCTGAGGGCACAGCTCAACAAGCCTTGAAGGAACACAAAAGGACGCACACTCAGGGTGATCTAAAAAGGCTTGCTTGCTCTCTTTTGAACTCCGGGCATGACATTACTAAGGGCCAGTTCTTCTGGGCTTATGGGTGGTTGCAGAAATAAGTTGTCACATACCCAGCTTATTCTGACAGTCCAACCTTAAATTTTATTCTAGAAGCCTACTCCCTCTGTAAAAAAATATAAAAGCGTTTAGATCACTAAAATGATGATCTAAATGCTCTTATATTTCTTTACGGAGGGAGTACTAATTACGTATAAGCTGAGTAGGGGCTGTCGGTCACCCAAAAGAATTGGCCCTAATAAAAAAGTGTGGCTTGTCATATTTACCCATATAATCTAATTGATTGCTGATTTTGCTTAATTGTGTCTGAATTGTGACACACCTTTGTAGGTTCGTTGTATAGGTTTGGTATTAGGCCAAAGTCACATGGGATCCAATCACACCTAATTTACGATCAAACGGATCTCCTGGGCCTTTCTTCCTATTGCCAACTTTGGCTCTTGTTCCTTTTTGAAAAAACACAAGTCCAGCGTCTTCTCACCTGAATCCCAATCATTGCACAAATGCTTTATGCCCTACTAAGCAACGGTAATTTAATCATCATCTCCCCACTAAGAGATTAGAGCATATATCTAATAACTCAGCTCATGACATGACCTTGATCATACCAAACTACATTATTATTCATTCATGCTCTAACAGACTCCCGTTTGTACTGGTGCAGAAAGAGAATCGGGTGCTATGGTTTCTTCGGGGCAAACAAGGGCAAAAATGGGGTCATCCAGGAATAAAACTAGGCAATTGCCAAGACCACGCGATCAGCTAATATGAACACCGGCATGGCGATCCTAACGACAATCGCTGCACACCTGCTCATGCATGCACAGAAATGGAGCTCATGGAATGGAAGCAAAAGGACTCGACGTGCATGCCTATAAACTGGTGCAAGATCATGATGTGACCACTGCCCGTGCACAGGACAGGTGGATACATCTTGCCCATGGAGAGGGCAGATGAGATCCAACAATGGTAGCACTGAAGTCTTGACTTTGTCACATGTGTTGTGCTTCTTTCTCTTTATTTTGGAGGAATATATGTTGTATTCTCTCAGACAGTCACATCTCTAGCTTGTACTATCCCTTGTTTGTACATGTTTTTATACAGTCCTTTTTTTGTTTTTTGTCTGTAGTAGTCAAACAGAAACAAACGATTCACAGATAAGTGTGGAGGATGATGATGCTCCATGGCACTTGTTTAGTTTTCTTCTCCTTTCGTGGGCCTGCCTCTCTTGACATATGACTTACCAAATGGCCAAAAGATCAATGCCAAGATCCCATCAGATATCCACTGGTTAAAATACGAACGCCTTTTGTTGGACTTATGATTTGTTCAAATGAAACGGAGAGCGGAAAGAGGAGATTGGTCTCTTTTTTATTATAAACAGGGTGGATGGAGAGATTAGTTATTGATCTAGTGCGTGGACCCAAGCAGAATCTAGCCGTCTAGGATTGTAATCATAGCTCAGATGATAAGGAACTTTTAAGTTCTTATTTCCATTTACCTGCCTTTTGAGTTAAGAAACATTACTGGTTTATGGTTGCGCTGGGAGTGCAATAGCAAATACACGAGCATCATGAACCAAAAATTTACCATACGCGGAATATAGCAAATCTATATCTTCAGTTGCAAATATCCTCAAGAAACATGGTAAAGTATATCACATGAGCAATCTTTCAAAAACTATCACCAAAATTTCTATTCTTAAGGAGAAACTTTTTTCGAAGAACTCGACGTAAGGTGCCTTATGGCTAATATTTTGCTAAAATAGCTTTCAAGATGGTAAGCACGCATGAGTTCAGTCATGATAGAAGCAAAAGCAAAAGTTGCGAACCAATTTATGGTTGGATAGTTAGAGGGACAGTGATATCCCAACCCATCAGAGTTCAAATTCTGGTGCTCGCATTATTCTCAGATTTATTTCAAAAATTTCAAAAATTTCAGTAATGCGCTTTCAATGAGGGAAGACGTTCCCGTCAACGACAAGGCGCATACAGTGACTTCGTAAATCTTATGATATGCCGGTACGATGACTTCATAAATCTTAAGATGATATGCCAGCTCAATCTTTCGAAGATGCTCAGAGGTAAGATGTGCATGTGTGCATTGATAGGCGAGAGTGTATGCGCGTATTTATGAGCGCTTGTGTCTGTACTGTGTTCAGAAAAAGAAGCGGAAGCAAAAGTTAAGAGTCACCGTATTTCATAACAAAATCATGGGGAAGAGGTGAAAAACATTACAAGCTAGTATATCAAACAGAATAGTCTGTGAACAGAGCCTGGAGAAGAGATTGGTATGGGTGCATGAAAAATATGATATTGTGCCATTTATGTCAAGTGAATGTCCGTTTGGAACGTTCTCATGATATACAGTTTCCGCTAGTGAACATAACAGTACTGACATCCGAGAGTTTGGGAATATAAAAATAAAATTTCTCAAAAAGAATTTTAATAATGCCATAGGCAGGAGGTGGCATGTGTGGGCAATTCTCACAAAAGCCTGCACAGTTTCAAGAGGGAAATGGTTAACTCTTAGCATGACAGGTGATGAGATATGCACAGACGCACCGGTAAAGTGATAAAAGCTTGGATCCGATAAATGACCTAAAACAGTCGACAGCAAAAGAAACATCAAACTCACCCTACACGGTTTTTGTCATCTGCGAAGAAGGGCGTTGATGACTGATAATCATCTGTTCCAAAGTATCTATCCCCAAACTCACCCATCCCAGGGATGACACGGAAATCATCATTCAGACCAAGCTCGATCTCTGATGTCACAATCTTGACCCTTGGGAATCTCTTGCTGACTACATGCACCCCTTGGGGAGCCTGGGATAACAGCAAACAGTTTCAGTGGTGAGTTATCTGCTCTTCACCTACTAATGTACTAACTGCAAATGTAATGCGCAAGTCAACATCCCTATCATGTCGACAATGAGAAATTTAACCAGACTGCACTTGATGACATGATATGTCTCTGAAAATAACATATTTCTTCTCCAGGGTCGGCTTTAGTACATTGAAACCATAACCAGCAGTCAATACAAAGTGAAAAGGGCCAAAGGCCAGCAACAGAAGTGAGAACCACCCACTAAACCAGTTTCTAGCCATCATCGTTGTTCTGCTCAATAGTCCGCAGAGCCAATATAAAAGGTTGGCAATTGCACTAGAGATAGTCATTAACTAGCACCTGTAGAGACCTAATTGCTTGTGCAATGTATAAAAGAATTCAAGATGTCTGATATACTCAAATAAAGGAAAAAAAGATACTCCGGACTTCAGAAGACATACTGATATAAGATTGAGGAATATAATATTTGCTTCTTGTACACGCTTCTCCAAGAGAAGAGAGATAGCTTGAACAGCTGAATTTCCTGGCAATGATCAAAAGGGAAAAGATGATTAGATGGGATTAACATCCAGTAGTTGAGCACGTGTGCTTAATTGACCAATATCCTTCCCTCAGTGACACAACTGAAACAAAAGATAGGAGGACTCGGAGTTACGGGGAATCAATTGATGCATGCTACTTACTAGAAATACAGAAAACTTATATTTTTCAAAAATACTTTCAGCCAATCAAAATAGTACATGAATTTATTCTTATAGGAGCAAGATGTAATTCAAGTTGGAGGAGAGAGGGTGAGCGATCAACTTCACAAATCTTGGAGTGCTATCTTTAGCCAATCAGGCCATTAATTCTTGACTTAAAAATTATGCTTTCACTTCAAGCATGTGCTCGTGCTTAACCAAGTTGAGGTCAGGTAAGAGCTCAAAGGCTTAAATAGCTTGGCCAAGCCAAAGCTTTTCTAAGTTCCCTAGTTGCCAGAACTGATGGGTGGCTGTGACTAGGGGATTGAAGGAAGGGTTCTGCTTTATTTACAGAATAGTTGGACAGTTATATCACACTTGAATGAGCAAGTTAATTGTTAGCTAAATTAAGGGAGACTAAAGTTGTGCAGAAGTTTCCTTTGGACTGTGGTTAAGTGTATTTCAAATATATGATTTTGTGCTAATGGTATCTGAATATTGGGGCTTTGTAGGTGTTATAAAGGGGTTTTGGAAACTTACTCTCTTTATCCAAATAAATATGTAAAGTGTACACTCTCAACTCTCAAGACAGGGTCAACAAGGTATATATTGACTCTCAAGACAAAGTACACACTGAGAACAGCACCAGAGAACAACAACAACAACAAAGCCTTTAGACTGAGAACAGCACCAGAGAACAACAACAACAACAACAACAACAAAGCCTTTAGAGCATCTCCAATAGATGGTCCAAATGTAAAAATAACTAACTTTTGGACCGTCTGGGGCAAAAAACGCTGCTCCAACAGACGGTCCATATGCAAAAAAAAATTGGACCGCGGCCTCCTCGTGATGTAAAATGCAACACCTCGCGATGCAAATATACATCACGAGATGCATCTAGTCCAAAATCAGCCGCCGCCCGCGAACGCCCAACCGCCACTTCATTTCCGTTCCCGCCCGCCCGCGACCTCCCGCC